AGCGAGACGGACAAAATAAAAATAATAATAATAATGAAGACTTAACAACCTGTGATGAGAGTGAGGAGAAGTTGAAACTGAGGAAGGAGAAAGAGGAAGAAATAGATAAAAAATAAATAAATAAAAAAGGTAATATATGAGAGAGAGAGAGAGAGAGAGAGAGAGAGAGAGAGAGAGAGAGAGAGAGAGAGAAAGGTCAGAGGTACATGTAGCCTGCTAGTGAAGGAGGGCGGAGTGGAATGCCTGACTGTGGAGGTGAAGGCGACAAACTGAAACCCGATTTCTCAGATGCTTGCAAGGTGGTATTTTCTCGTAAGTGATCACATGAGGACACCTGTAAGGGGTTCATTGAAACTACGACACGAGGGAGGATTCTCAAAGGCTCTTAAGTTGAAATTCTCTTCTTTATTGATCACGCAAGAACACTGCTAAAAGATTCATTGAAAACTACAACACAAAAGTGGATTCTCAAAGGTTCCTATATGTAAACTTTCCCGTCTTATCTCGTGAATTGGGAACACATTTAACTAATCCACTGAAGTTATGACACTAAGATGGATTCTCAAAGGTCCCATACGCTGAGTTTTATCCTCGAATGTCAAAGCGTATCCAGCTGACTTATACGCTATTATGTAAAAGATGGCGGCCAGTATGTGTACAGTAGGTGAATTTGCCTACTGTGAGACTTTACCGAAATTAGATGCGTCTTAGTGTGACACTTTTATAGAATTAAGACCTTAGGATGCCTTAGTATTATAACTCTCTCTCTCTCTCTCTCAGGGATGACATTTCCCCCGCCCGAGTATAATATCTTACGGTATAATAGTTCAAGTATGCTGTCCCAGGCCAGAACCCAAAGTCTTAAAGATACTTACGTTAAAATTTCCTCGTTAGCGAAATGAGGTTAGATCTGATTCGCTTCAGCTACGACTAAAGAAAAATATATATACCTATACTAAAGAATCCCAAAATGGCATCAATTGTACTCTGAGCCTCTGTTGCCTAAAAGAATTAACAACACTTACGAACATCTGAGAGTCTGCGAGGGAGTTAATTCTCAAAGGTTGTGTTAACTGTTGATGTAAAAAGTGTATTAACTAGATTCTTATAGGTTGACACGGTGAATATTCCTTATAATTGAAGATGTTAAAAATGCACCTAATTCCTTGGTCAAAATTCATGTTATTTTTATTATGATTCGAAGTTACTTTGTTTGTACAGTACTGCTTCGGCTCACGACTGGATGGACGGACAGACAAACGGACGGGCGGACGGAGATTAGGCATTCCTGTAACACCTCCCCCCCCCCTCCATCTCCTAGAACCACGAGAGTACAAGACCGGCCATTGACGAGTGCTTTTCTCCCCGCCTCTCCACCCTCTTCCGCTTTCACCTTAAGCTTCACCCTCCTCCACCTCCACACCTGCCCAATCCTCTACCTCCATTTCCGTCCACCTCCCTTGTTTCTCCACCTCCTGTTTCCACCTCTGTTTCCTTCCAATTTCATTCTGCACCTCCTGAATCCCACCCCCTCCGCTTCACCTTCCCGCCTGCCTCCTGTTTCACCCGCCCCTGATGCCTTTTAACAAGAATGTTCAACAGACTGTAAGTGTATGCAAACATTTAACGTGTTGAATGATTGATTGTATGAACACGGAATCACTTGAGCTGACGCGTTTGAATTACAGAATGACGTGAATATATACAGGTATATATATATTTTTTTAAAGAGTTGGGAATAAATGCGTTTTGCCTCGGTGCATTTTCCAACAAGCAGAAACAAGTGACAATCATTCTTCAGCTGTAAGTCAGATCTAATAAGAATATGTTTTGTCGGTTGCATTTCCCGGTAGGCAGAACACAAATGACGGTTATTATCCGTCTGATGCAATGAACGCAATCTAGTATAAATTTCTAAGTCCTTCAGAATCTAGATGTTTTATTTTTGTAAGACTGCGGGTGTTCGGATAACTTATAAAAAAAATCTCTTGAATTAATGGAATGTTCTCTCTGACTTAGCCATGACTTCGGTTTAACTGTATCATTGGCCAGATCCAACATTTCGACTTTTATTTAAATCTTAATGTGTTGAATCTTTCACACCATGAGGCCTTTATTGACTCGAATTAAATACAATCATAATTACAATAGTTGTCATGGTTTAGCGAGTCTATCCCTGTTTTTTCTTAGTCTAGCGAACTCTGCTATAACTCAGCTAGACGGACCAATGTTAATAATTTCAGATTTCAATTTATTTTTTTACGTGAAAAATTCCATAATATTAAAAACTAGAAACGAGAAAAAGATTATGAATTTACCGATTTGGTGTCGTGACTCACTTAGCAACCAGTAACCAATCAACAGCGTCCTCTGAATTGTGATGGTTGCTAAGGAAGCGAAAAGTAGGTGGAGTTGAGTTAATATGTCACTTCAGACAACCATATAAACTGAAAGGCATAGGGTGACACGTCAAGATTAGACACCCCAGCTTATTCCACCTTAAGAATTAGACACCCCAGCTTATTTCACCTTTAGAGTAGACACCCCAGCTTATTTCACCTTTAGATTAGACGCCCCAGCTTATTTCACCTTAAGAATTAGACACCCCAGCTTATTTCACTTTAAGAATTAGACACCCCAGCTTATTTCACCTTTAGAGTAGACACCCCAGCTTATTTCACCTTTAGATTAGACGCCCCAGCTTATTTCACCTTAAGAATTAGACACCCCAGCTTATTTTAATTTCCCAAGAATTGATCTTAATTAATTTTAAAGATTAACCACCAGCCAACTCTAATGCAACCTAATCTGCTCAAGTGACTACAGCACATGTTTTTTTCTGACCGCTGTACCTGTAAAGATGTTAAGCCTGATGTCCATAGATGTTGAGCGAGAGGGGTGGGGGCAGAGGGGAGGGGCAGGAGGAGGAGAGAGATAGAGGGAGGAGCGAGGAGGGACGGGAGAGGGAGGGGCGAGGTGGGGGTAGAGATTGGGAGTGGAGGGGCGAGGAGGGAGGAGAGAGGCATTTAGGGGAGGGAGGGGCAGAGGAGGAGGAAGAGGTGGGAGGGGCAGGAGGGGGGAGAGTGTGGGAGGGGCGAGGTGGGGTGAGAGGAGGATTAGGAGGGAGGGTCTAGGGGAGGAAGGAGTGGGGTGAGAGGATTAGAGTGGGAGGGGCGAGGAGGGAGGGAGAGTGTCGGAGTGTAAGGGAAGGTTAGAGTGAGTGAGAATGAAAGGGGGTGAGGGAGTGGGGATGGAAAAGAGTAAGGGTGGGAGAAGGAGTAAGAGTGAGGGAGGGAGTGGAATGAGAGTGGGGGGAGGGGTGAATAGGGTGAGGGAGTTAGGAAGAGGGATTGAGGGAGAAGCGAGATTAGGATAATGAATCTAGTGTGAGGGAGGGAGAAGGGGGCGAAGCTATTGAAGGTGAAGAAGAGAGAAAGAGAGACAACTTATTATATGTGGTAAAGGAGAAAGAGACCAAGAAAACAGAGAGGGTGACAGGAAAAATAAAACCACGAAGTAGAGAGGCGGAGGAGAACGAAGGAGAGAGATATACGAGAGAGAAAAGGATAATAATGTGTAGTTTCTCTACCGTCATACCAGTGTGTCCTTGACAGGCTTACCAACCGCTGCTAAAAATAACTTATCCATGGACTACCATTTACTTTACGTGGTCAAACTTAATAACTGTTGGTCTTTTAACTTGTTTTAAGCTTAGTTTCGAGGAGTGAAAGATTGTGTTTTCTTCAGTTTTCTCACAAGATGTCATTACTGTTTACATTGTCGGGTTCATGTTGGATTCATAAAGCTTCATATGTTCGTTTTGTTTAACCTTAAAGGAAATTAAACTCATTAGGCTAGAGTCTCAGGATACCTTCGACAGCATTTTGCGTGTTATCTTTAAGCCTTAGTTTACATGAACCAATTAGAAGCATTGTAGCATCAGGGGATAAAGTAAACGTAAGTAAAGACAAAAATTAACATACGATATTATAAGAATCGTTTGTTTCAGCTTCTCCATACCAAGCTTATAAAACCATAACATAATGCAAGTGTTAATGTAATAAGATCAAATTATATTTAAATTCAACTTACCTTTGCCTTGCATATGCAATAAATTCCTATCAGAGTCCCGGAGTTAAGAGATTAATTATTAATAAGAAAAATCGGCTTCAACGAAAGTAATCCATGAGTTGATAGAAGAGAATGTTGTTTCCTTTATCTATTCTTACCGGAGGATTAGTATAGAAAGCTCTCTTACTCAATAACGTAACAGCTGGGGCAGACTCGAGTAAGAATGTGGCGCAGACGTTGTTTATAGCGAACAGGCGTATTTCTTGAAACAGATAAGGGACGTTTTAAACTGCGTTGAAGGTACACAACTACCAACCTTTCCAATGTACAGACGTTGTATAGCAAACGATTATCAATCATTTTAAGGGCCCAAGTTTAAATTATATAAAAATAAACTAATAATATATATAAATCTACAGTACAGAGGTGGTAAAAATTGTAAATATTAAATATTTCATTGTTTTAAGAGGATGTTATGTTCACCACCCTTCCGTGATGTCATGGTGACGTTTACATGACGTCATCTACTTTCCTGACGTCACAGAACCTTGGCGTCAAATGAAAATCGATATTGCATAGAAATACCATCTAAGTTTATTTCGATTTTTCAACTGTGTGTGTCGGGGTAATTAGTATTAAAATCTAATATACAATAGTCATAAATAAAGTAAATTGTTAGGAATATTTCAGCAATAATATTCTTCTGTGGCAGTGCAGGTCTTGGTGGGACCGTCTAGGCTGTGACCGATGTTTTGTTTGTAAGATCTCTTATTTCTAAGGATAACCACAATTTTCAGTCAGGTAAGTGTAACACCACTTTTAAATTTAATAGCATGAATTCTTGGGTTAGTCCGCTGAATGCTTGAGCGACCCATAGTTAGGAAAGCCGTCAATTAATGAATTTAATTAGTAGTGTGACGGGTGGTAGTGCATGTTGGTGTGGTGGTGGTGAGGGCAATGGAGCATAACCCAGACGGTGAATGACTCATTCCAGCCCCACACTCTCCTTCCAGCTTCTCACCAACCTCGCCCCTTCACCATCCCACCACCCGGACGCCTCATTTCACCAGGTAGTCAGGTTTGTGAACCAGGAGAGCGGACGGAGGTGGCGTGGGGCAGGGGTTTGTTGGGTTGCTTGCAGTTGCATGTTGGAGGAGGGGCGCGAGTAATGGCCTTGACTTGTACCAGTGGTGGGCAGGGAGGTGTGGGACGCTCAGGGTAAACTGTGGCAGCGCCAGTCATGCCGGGGCCACACTCCTCTGGCCTCTTGCTCCATCCCAGTTGGTGATACTCTTGTGTCCAGTCAGGCTGTGTGTCTCTCCCTCCCTCCCTAGTTTGATTTTCTGTTTTACTTTTATCACAGGTTGAGATAGTTGTTATTACATCTAGTGAAGGAGAAGTTGAAGTATTTATGTTTTTTCAAGATAATTATATTCATAATGTGATCATCTACAAGCAGAAGTGTTTGCATCATCAGTAGATTGACAACAGATCCTAGACTTGAAAAATGTCTGTGATGTGTGTGTGTGTGTAACAGTTTGTGAGTTTCTACACCTGTAGTGTAGCGCCGGTAATATGTGACTCAGAAAAACAAACTTGTGAATATAATTGGTGAAATGTTTAATATCGTGTGGAATTTATCGTTTTCTTTATAACTGTGTGAGTGTCTTCAGTTATGTGAAATGATGCTCAAAGCTGCTGTTTAAGTGACTCGCTGCTCTGTCTGGAAATCAGTTTAAGACTTCACTGTTAGAAAACTGAGAATATGGCATGTTGGATCATGTCCTTAATTATATGATTAATGACAAAAAATTTCCAATACATTATCAGTACACTACCTATAGATGGTTCATTGTGCAGTACAAGTGATAGCGAACAACACTTCACAGACACCTATTGAGTTTATTGTCATTGCAGATTTAGCTTTAATATTTACAACTTTAATTTTGTGCAACTTTTCAAGTGACTAATGAATGCCTAAAGAGAGCTCATAATTTATCCATGTACACTATATACCAGTAAACTGTCAGGGAGGACATTGGTCACTGTTCTTAAGTGAATAAACATCATTGTGTATGTTACATACTCCAGTCTTGTAGTGTAACTCAACAAGCAAACACGTACCGTCTTGAACGAGGGCAACCGTGTGTGTACCTGAAAAAGAATTACAGTAGTTTGTAACTGTGAGCTGGATATATTCTGGTATTATTGGTGCACAGTAAATTATTTATTGTTACAATACTGCTGGTTGTCTTATAGATTCTGGCCTAGTCTGGTGCTCGTCGATATTATATACTGAACTGTACAAGGCAGAGTATGCGTATCAGTGTACCCTGGCTTGTAACTAAACGTAACTCTGTGTAAAATAAAATCCTGTCTAAGGATATGTTGTGGGCCAGGTCTGTTAAAACAAATTTTCCTTGTATCCAACCTTTTTTCATTAAGGATACCCTCGGGGACACAAGCACTCCGTAAATACAAACTACACATACTCATTAGATTATTGAGGTTTGATGTAATGGTTTATGTCACAGGCTTGGCAAGTCTGAATTTTTTCATCAAATTTAGTAAAACCGCTAAATCCACTAAATTGATTAACTAAGAATTTGGAAATACAATACAATACAATACAGTACTGTACTGTACCTGTACCAGTCATTTGAACTTCTGTAGCTATTACATAACTCTTGAGTCTTGACTGAATAATTTCCACATGTCTCATTTACTGGGTAATGGAATTGTGTAATTTTCAGTATAAGAAAGATTTAAATCCCTAGTTTAAAAGCAATCAAGGAGCCAGATGCCAAAGTGATTAAGGAACTGTTAGGTGAGGTGTTGAGAACCATTAGCTACATAAATATTTTGGGGAGCCTTTGCCAAGTTGTTGTAGGAACATGCACTGTAGAGGAGATACAACTAGGCAAATAACTGTTTGTGTGATGAGTTTATTGATCCTTGTTGGGGATAAGTTAGGTACTTGGTACTGAGCAAGAATTAATGTTTGGTTGACTGATTGATTTTATTGGGAATTCATCACATGTAAAGTACCCTAAAACACACTGTGGTTAAGAACAACATTCAGTTTTATAAGGTAAACAACATACCATACAGTACAGTGTATTTTATAATTTTATATAACTCCGAGGATAACACAATCACTTATTTTCTTTATACTGTAGTTTGGTTAGGATTAGTTATTAATTATGTTGTATTATGTACTAGCAGCTTTACAGTTATCCAGGCTTAGTTTAGGTATGTGGATAACTCTGGTGATCTTCTTTAATATTTTTAAAGTGTTCTCATAATTTTGGAATAGTTTTTCTTCTTAGTTAGTGTTGGAAACTTACATTAATGGAAACACAGATAAAAATTGAAGGATTACACGACACCGCTCCTGAATTATTATACGTACAGTACTATATTGCAATAAATTCAAGTTCCTTCCCATACAAAATTAATAAATATGGTATAAGTACTTGTAATTGATTTATAGTGTAAAAGTGTAATACATGACTGTTCCTTTTCTTGAAGATATATTAAAATTGGTAAAGTGTTGAATTTGTAATTAAAGTAGTTTGGCTTTGCTTGTAATTTTATATTACTGTTTGGGATCACCTGAAGACTTGGCACCCTCAACTTATTTCACCTGATGACTGAAGTTAAATACCCTAATGTTAGCTTAGCATAACCCCTTCAGGTAGTGTTAGCGTGTTTAATCATCGGGTGAATTAAGCTTGGATGTCAAATCTTCAGGTGTTCCCATATTTATCTTGTACAGTGTAGTTTAGTGTAACAGTTGTGTGTGAGTAATACACAGTACAGTACCAGTAACTCAAATTAGCCTTTTAATTAGCCTTTCAGTGGTGGTGACTATCTTTGTCATTAGTAAAATTATCACATGCTTTATTCCTTTTCACTTCAGATAACATAGGGAACATTAGGTAATATAACTGACACATTATTATAAATTAACAATGAAGAAGCTCTGTACAGCCTTGTAACTATGTGCAGACTAAGAATATATACCGGTAGTTTGACTCATAACAATAGTAAATGTGTAAGTTATCTTTATTGAAATATTGACAGAATCAACCCAACAGATCCTGCCCGATCAGCTATTCATTTGTCGTACCTGTACTTGTAATATTTATAAACAGTAGATGTGGTAAGGAGCCTCACTCAGCATTAAAACTTAACAGTTGACATACAGCGTAACCTTTTTAATACCCTGTCACTCCTGTGGTGGGTGTTCTTGTGTGTGTCACTTCAGGTTTTGTGGATAGTTTAACTTGAATAAATACAGTTGGGTTGCATTTTGGCCACCTTAAAATGTAGATATGACACATGAAATTTAGATGACTACTAAACTCTCATTCATCATTGTTGTTTCGGTTTTAGCCTCTTGGACTTATTTGGTACATAATATTACTTTAAAGTTTAGGCTTAACTGAGAAGTAGGAATACCATAACTAAAGCTGTAAAAATATTGTTTAAACTTTTTATCAGTAAGTACAAGAAGTGTCACTGGGAGACTAAGACAGAAGTGGGGATGGCATAAGTACTGTATATATAATTAGCTAGAGAATAGATTACCATCATCCAGGGTCATAGGTTTTTTTATCTTGTTACTCATATAACACAAAAAGCATTTGGGGAAACCAATAGAGAACAGATACCCATAGGAGACCTTGATGAGTTCCTTCAGAAGGTTTGTAATCAGCCAGCCTGTAGTGGTTAGGCAGGGATCAACAAGTACAGTAAGAGTCATGTGCTGCTTAAGTTTTCACCTCAGAGACCTGGATGTAGACAGCTGTGGGGGAAAAAGGATGCCATGGTCTCAGTGTAAAGTCTAGGGATTTTACCCGGCAACCTCCTGCTACATTGATTAGGTGTTTTTGCTGTTTAGTAAAGGAAATAGAATAAATGCAATTCATGTTAGTTGAGTTGTATGTGAAGAAGACAGTTGATGAAATACTGTAATGTTACATTTGATTCTTTACCAGCACCCTGGGTTTATAGGACCCTGAGTTGTTAAGAATTCCACTGGATTCTGACATGAATTGTAAGTTGTTGTTGGTTTCATAACAGCCTGGTGCAAGGTTTTATTTTTATCTTTATCTGCAGAACCACTGAACGGAATTGGCATACAATGCCAATAGTGTTAACAATATTCAGATTTATGAAGGGGATGTTATTTAGTTTAAAAATACAGAAATTAGCAGCTTTTGGCAACCGATGACTTCTCATAGCTGCTAAGGAGGAATACCGTACTTATTTTTTACTTTGTCATGTATCTTTGAAGCAAATAATGTAAAAATTGGATTACACGATTCTTGAGATAGTGCGATCAAAGTTTATTCCAAAGATGTTATACAGAAAACTTAGGTCTTCACCAAATACAATTTATTATTTTTCAACGGCATATAACTTTCCGGTGTAAAAACCGTACTGTACAGTACAGTATATTAAGATTATCTTGACAGGATTTCTCCTGGTCCAATGTCCACTAGCTCTTATCAGTCATAATCTTTAACCCATAGTCACTTCACTTGTAGCTAGTCAGGATGATGTTTATCAAACATGTTTTGTATGGTACAGTATACTGTACTGTGCAGTACAGTACTGTACCCGTAATAGTGAGTTATTTAAAATTTCCTTCGGGGATATCATTTATGTAAACCTATTTTTAATTTATTCATTTGTTTCGTCACAGATGTGTGTGTCGTACTTTTAATCTCTTATGTGTATGAGGCATGGGGAGACACATCATACATATCCAGCCCTCTTCCTTGTACTGTTTACTTTGGCATTTCCATAATTTCTAGCATTGTAGTTAGTAATAAACATTCTTCAGTATGCTAACAGTACTGTACTTACCGTACATCACACCTTAGAGCATAAATAAGTTTATATATAATGGTAGAAACTCTGCCTTCTTCTGTTATAGGATGTTTATTATTTGGGAGAGAAAATTACATAATATTGATCAGTCATATTTAAGATAAAATGATGAGAGAATTTATTTATTAAAGTCACTTATATAATACAGCTTAGAAACAACAAATACTTTACCAATACATTATTAATATAAGTTTTCATCAATTGCCTCATTTACTTATGTTACACTAACTATGTAAAAGTAGATGATGTTATTTCAAAATTGTTTTATCCTGTTTTTCATTTGTTTGTCTCGGTATTTATATATACTGTACGTACAGTACAATAATTGTGATATAGTAACTGGTTAATTACCATACAGTACTGGAAATATATTTTTGCTATAATTTTATATACCTTTAACATGACCACAGTGATATCATTGGCAGCCAGGAGTCATACCAGAGTATTGTCTGTAAAGATCTATTCGCTTTACAGTACTGTTTTGTCTTGCACTTTTACAAATTCTAGTGTTGCAGTTAGTAAATAAACATTTGGTAGTTTGCTTCTTGTACTTATACAGGTAATATAGTACCCTATAACAAATCCACAAATAGAGAATAAACATTAAAAAAACAACAACATCAAATGGAGGACTTGGGCTGTGACTGGGAGTACTGTATAACCCTGTTTATAATCTACTTTGGAATCCACCATCATTTTTACCAGTTTCACTTATACCAGCACAGTACTGTACTGGCCTTCTCTAGGAACACAACTCCCTGCATCAAACAAGGATAACTTAGCAATGTCCATCATCTTGTCTCTTAAATTTTGATTCCCATTCGTTAAGTTTAGTTTTATTTGACCTTTTTTTAATGTTGATCACAGAGTGTATGGGTGTTGACACTTATATTTTTTTCAACTTCGGTATATTTTAGACTCAAGAATATCCCCAGTAACGGAACTCATTTGTAACCTGGGTACTGCCTGTATGTGTTTTCTGTGATACAGTTTTTATTATTACTGTTCATGTTAATGGCCAAATCACTAAGTTTTGTTTTTTCCTGTTGTTTTTTGGTAACTCATGTCCGTATTTGAGGCTACAGTATGCAGTAGTGATTTTTTCAGGCTCCCTCTAAACCCCCCGACCATGGCTGAGAATACCAGAGGATTTTTTTTTTGTGCTGTAGTGGGGTGGATAGGAATATGTTTTTTCTAATTAAAGCTATGCAGTTCCTTTAGTGAATGTTGTCCATTGTTAGTGATAATTAATCTTCTTATATATGATGATAATCCGTTTATGGTGTATGCAGCTGTTAGTCAAATAAATGAATACCGTTCACAACATAAATCTTGTTAACAACTTGTATGGCACAGCTTACAACAAAGTGGCACCTCAGGAACCATTACAATTATTAGAAGGTGGTTGATTACCAGTTGCTGAGTGAGTTGTACAGTCGCTCAAAAATAACTTTACTGGGGGGTTCAAAATGAATTCCGCGACATGTTGTCTCGGTGGGCTTGTCAAAATCCTTCGTCCGTTGTGTCATATTGTCTAACACAATTTTGTAAAGATTGTGTCTTGAGCGACTGTACTAACCACATTGCTGAGTTCACCTTTTTCCCCTTTCCCGTATTTTTATTTATTTTTTTAATAATCAAGAATTTGAGGTTAAGTATTTTCACCTGAAAATTTTTCCTCTTTCATTAAAAATAAAAAAATGGCAATGTATTCAGTAGTGTGATGTCTCACTTTGGTCTCACTTCACATACTGTACACAGCAACCAGACAACTTCCTTAAATTATAATACTGTATATATATATATACCTTTACTGTATATACATTTTTATTTAAACTCGTATATTTCCCAGGAATATTATCAAAGATATTAACATGATAATTTCTTGTGTTGCCAGAAAGTAATGTAGAGTTAGAAACCAAAATGTCTGAATACTGCCTCCGTTGGAACAACCACCGGCCCAACCTGGTGACGGTGTTTTCCGAGCTCCTGACCTCTGAAGCCCTGGTGGACGTCACACTGGCTACCGATGGTCACTACATACACGCACACAAGCTGGTACTGTCAGCATGCAGTGTTTACTTTAAGGTAAGTTCTCACAATAGTTTTATTTTATTTTCAGACGAGTGTCATCTTATCAGGAGTGACGTGCCTTTTTTGAGTCATTGTCAATTGTTTAGGAAATTAAGAGGTCAGAATACTATTCGTTGTTTATTTTTTATATCAATGTGCATGTACAGGTTCGATATACTGTACAGTAGTTTGAAGCCTCAAGAGTTGGTTCCACATTTAACATTTTTAATTATAAAACCTATTAAGCAAGTTCATATTATCTTCAAACAACTCGGCTTTGTTCCAGCAGTGACTGTTGCTAATAAAAGGTTATTGAAGGTGACCAAGTTAGAGATCTCCACAAATGTGTTGAGGCATGTAACAAGTAATGAACAACAGTGTTGCTGTGCAATTTTTTGAGTGACTTGTCCTCACAGAATCAGTGATGAGAGTCCTGTCCTCTGAGATGTAATTTACATCATTACAGACCTGTCTTTTTTCTTTCTTTTTTTTAGTCACGTCACAAAATTGTAAAGTCACAATAAATAGTGTTGTGTTCAGCTAAATGCCATGCATCTGTGTTGTTTAGATAAAAAAAATTAATGACTGGAATTTCAGGTCAGTTACCTTGGCAAGCGAGTTAGAAACCATCCACTCTGCAGAATTAGATTTACTGAGCCCTGGTCAGTATCAATACAGTACAGAAATGTAATGCATATGGGTTAGAAGAGGGTACAGGACATTGAAGTTGTAATATTTTTGTTCTTGCACCAAGTACACTGAAGGAGCTATTAATAAATCAGAGCTTAATGGAAAGAATAATTTCTTTAGCATTGAAGATTAATGAGTGAGTATAGGTTTTAAAGAGGTACTTCTCTGTAGACAAATCTGTGATGTGCCAGGAAAGAGAGGAGAGTATTTGTGTAAAAGAGGTGACTGAAGAATTTGTAACATAACTTTTGAGAAAGTCTAAATGACCCAATCTTCTGTACAGTTTTGAACAGATGAAGTAAGAATCTTATTTAGTTAGTACTACCCTGGACAGCCAAGTTGTATATGAGCAGTATCCTCACTACAGTGCTTCTGAATATCTCAAGAGAAATCTAGAGACACTTTGTTAGTAATTGATTTGTGTGTTAACAAAGAGCTTATATTTATTTATTTTATTTCTGTAACTGATGTTATTATTCACAGCTGAATGCGTCATTTATTTACAGGACTTGTTTGGGGCAAACCCTTGCAAACATCCCATTGTGATCCTCAAGGATATTCGTATCGATGACCTGAAGACTGTGATCGACTTCATCTACCGCGGGGAGGTCAATGTCTCCCAGGACAGACTACAAGATGTGCTCAGGGTCAGTACAGTAGTGGAGTTTTGACAGTGTCTCGGGGATTTTAGATCTGAGTACTGTATATATAAATAATACTTTATTTATATTTTTGTTAGGACAAATAGATAACCCATACTGCATATTTACTCAGACTGCAGAATCACTAAGGATAAAAGGACTGGCAGAGAACCCACGTAGCTACGATGAGATGTCTAGTCATGGTGCCCGCTTCTCATCATCCTCACTTGGTTCACAGGTAAGTTTTCTGGGCTGAAAATTATTCTTGGGTTCCCAGATTTGTTTACTTCCCCAAAATAATTACTAATAAGGTTTGGGATTTGGAGGGGGGGGGGAGGTTAGTATGCATCAGAAGAGCATTATTGCCAGCTTAGGTATGTCTTAAGGTTCTTACTTATAAAGAATCGTGATCTTTATTGCTTCTTCATCTGCAGTTACCCCATTCCTTGCCTTATTATTGTTACTTGCTCCTCCTAACTTATTCTTTCCTTATGTCATCATATTTCATCTCTTATCTTCATTTGTTTTATTTTCTTCTCTAGTTTTGATATACTGTACATACTCTGTCCATGATCTTATATCCTTAGATTCCAGGTTTACATACAGTACCACAGATTCTGAATGTTTTTTATTATGCCTTCACTTCATGTGCTGCGGATGCATTGATCACCACCATTCTTTACATTGTACACTGTACTTTCAACACAGCAGCCAAGTTTGTTAGCAGCATTGAGGAAAATGTATCTGGCTTACAGCAAAGAACTATTGTAGGCTGCTCTGTATGTATTCTTGGATTATGTACAGTAATGAAATTGTGAAGTTATATAATGTCTGCTCTTCCTTTTATTATTCCTTACACTTATTTTTCTTATTCTTCACAGATCGAGTACATTGACACACTTGCACACCACCGTACAGTATTTGCAACATCATCCCTTCCCACACACGGGGCTAGTTGTGAAACCAACTACTGTACAGTAGCTAAAACAACTCTGTGCATACTTTGTGAGAAACAATATGAGACCATGGACTATAAATTTTGGTATACGAGGGCTGTCACTAGTCACGCGTAAAATTTCGGAGCATGTCGACCCCCACCTGCACAGATATTGTAGTTGTTTTAGCTACTGTACATTCTATGTATAAAATTGGTTGTTCTTTTACATAAAACAATGAATTATTAAAAAGAGAAGAGAGAAGAAATATTTCTAATGATGTATTAGTGTTGGATTACCATAAGGGAGAATGGTTCAGGGAGTGACTCGCCAAATCTCTCGTGTCAATCAAAATTATTATTATTTTAGTTTAGTTACAATAATGGCATCAGTGCCAAATGGGCGGGACTAAAAATTATTGCAGATATCAAGTCATGGTGTGTGAGAGTGTTAAAGAGTTCATTCTGAATACCTGAACTTTTTTAGCCATTCACATTTTCTTTTCCTGTCTTGTTATATATCAGTCTAGAAGTTCATCTAATCATTGAGTGTTTTAATTTCTGGCCATGGATCTGATCCTAGATTTAGCTTGGCTAGGACAGTGTCCTCTATGGTAAAGTACAGTCGCAAAACTTGACCTGTTGTGTATGCAAAAAGCTATTGTGTAATCAGGAAAGTAAACTGTAGGAATAGTCTCAAGACCAAGTGAATTTCATTCACTGTGAGCCAAGGAAGAGACAAAGTAGAGGTTACCAGTAGGTGGTTGTACAGTACTGTATATGATAATTGGCATTGGGGCTATGTGCACAGTAGCTGCTATGGAGTGTTTTTTTTTTTAGCTGAGTTTCAATTAGATATATTTTGGCCAAGGGTGCCATCTACAGACAATTTGTATGCCTATTGTCGTCTACTTATGGTGGAACTTAAATTTATTTTTATGAATTTTCTGGCCAGAGAAATACTGGCATAGGTTTTGCTGTCCACCACTGGTAGGGTTTTATCTAAAGACTTATGACAGATTTCTCAGTTGGGAATATTGCCATGACACATCTCCACTTTCAAGCCTGTGTTCCTGCCATGTTGATCATTTATCATTATTGTGATTTCTGTGTTTCCACATTACTGTATTGCCTTCATGGGTTAAGTGATCTGTTGCCTGAATTGATATCTCAGTTTTGTTTCTTGGTAATTAACAACCCCACTTTACCCATAGGTTACACGACAAAGATCATCCCTAACGGACTCCCGAGAACAGTCACTCAGCTTGGAGGGAGATGAGGAAGCTGAACCCGGTACACCGCCATCCTCCAAGAGACGTAAAATCACAGCATCACACGACAGTTCGGAAAGCCTTCATGGTGAACATGGTGCGTGTAATATTAGTTGGTTGTGCCAGATTTTATGGAACTGCAAGAGAGACTTTTTTGAATGATTGACTTGTTAAAATTGGTATTCAAGTTTTTCTATTGGCTTGAGAATAGAAGCAGTTTTTATATTTTATTGCCATAGCTGAATGTTTTATTAGGTTTTTGGAGTATGTAAAATGTTGCAGTGACCAAGTTATATGAGTAAGTAACTTGTGACAAACATAACCTAACCAGCCCATAGTGTGTGTGTATAATACCATGTAATTTACTATGCCTGCGGAAAAAGGACCAGTTGTTACGTTCACTACACCTCAAGAAGACTAAGTTTTAAAGGCATGACCCAGGTCTACACAACTAAGTAAGAGCTAAACACATCATCATATTTTTCATACTTCATGACCAGGAATTAATTCAGGATTCTGGATGAATTTCTATTGAATTTCAAGTGTCTTCTGGGTAGATTTTTCCAACATGGAACATTACAGTTCTAAATTGAATGTTGTTTAATTTGTGTAATAATTCTACCAACTTTTATTAAAAGTTGAATTAATATGCATAAATATTACATTTATACCCTAGACATTCTTCAGATAAAATTTCTCATTATCAGTACTTACTGTACTGTATTATAAAGATAAACATTCTCAAAGTCCTAAAGTCGAGACACCTAATACAGTACCAAACCTCACCCCCTTAGGTTGTCTCTAACACTAAGCACACAGTATTGTGGTGAGTTGTGCATATTGTATGTTGTTTTAAATCTCCCTCTTTTGCAGAAGAGACAGAAAATGAGGACAGGGGACGGTCTTGTGAAGTGAAAGATGAACCGCTTGATGAACACGAAAATGAGAAACCACAAACCAGGGATGTAGAACAGGAGTCAAATGTGGTAAGTGAAGGTAGTTGAGTAAGTGCTTAGTGTCACTGAAACCTCACAAGGGAACCCCTCACTCCCCATTTTCATATTTAGAAGAATTTTCCCATGTGGTGCAAGTTGACTGGAATCAAGGACAGCATTGATTATTCCCTTGTTCAGTATCATTAATTCTCGTTAATTGCTGTAACAAATGTATTCTGCTTTTGCTGTAGCATTCCTTGTTCACAACACATCCCCAAGGTTTCCATATAGTCTATCCAATACTTCATACAACCCAGCATCATCCATCTATATATATTTCAGCACCAAGCTCTCCAGTCATACTTGCACACCACTCAGTTGGTATAGCATTCACTTTATATAAATTACTATGGGTGGAGGATTTGGTTTCCTCCTTGTACACAAGCCCTTGTGCACTTATTAGTAAGTGAGCACACAGTCAAATACTTTGTTGATATTGGAACAACCCTTCAGTGGGCTATTGTCCTGGCAAGAAGGTGAGCTGACCCACTAGCTGCTGAATGCTAAGAATCAGAGGTTTAGTATCTTGTTTAACCACTGCATCATAGCAGGAAAAAGGCTTTTGTATAGTCGAAGTCAAAAGTTCTCTCCTTCTCAAAATGAACAGCATCGACTTAAATGAGATAAAACGGCAGACATTCACCAGACGACATCAGGGTAATTTCAGAGACCCAATCCTGTGACTCCTTTTCAACATGGGGAACCAAAGTTCGACTGCCACTGTACATGAAAACAAAACACACACAGGGTATCATCTCTGGCTGACTGTGTTTAAGAGACTTTGCCACTTCAGAATACAAGTGGATATTGCCTTGTCTAACCACCCCTCAAATATTTTTGTGATTTATTTTGCATTTTTAATTATATACAGGTGCAGTATATGTATTTGTTGTGTGTATTTTAAGTAACAAGAGTTTCTGGTTCATAACTTAAACCCTAGAACATCACAAATCACAGACTCCCTGAAGCTCCTTGGGTGAGTGATGTGAGCTAAGTATGCTACAGGTATTCTCCCTTTGGATCACAATGCTGAGGAGCTGGAATGTACTGTATAGCTTGGAGTCTTGGGTTGCTTCAGTGAGTCTGGAGCCTACCGGTATCTCATTCAGTGACTCCACAGTTTTGACACCTCATGATCCTAAGGTTTCAAACCCTATCAGAACAAAATGATATTCACAGCTGAGGGTTTGCACTTACCTCTATCTGGGTTTCCTTTGACCAAGCTACCCTCCTTGCTCCAGCTGCACTATGGAGGAAATAGATATATGTCTGGATGGAAGCACATTTTTTAATCCCACACAAGTTCTTTGCTGTCTTCCAGAGTATGTCATTGTAGGTGGTTTTTTGCTATGGAATTTAGAACTGCAGTTCCCTGTGTGCTCTGCAATCTGTGGTGACCAGTCTTCTATTTATTGTGCCTTACTTGCTGTGTTGGTCTGCTAGCTTACTGCTGCAGAGATACTTTGCAGATGAGTGTGGCAAAGTGAAGGGCTATTCAGCGTGGTGGTTCTGTGAGTTTAAAGCAGTACTGTACAATATACTGTACTGTACTGTACAAGGAATTTGGAGTGCCCAGTAGGAATTCCTCAGAATGAGGGCCACACTATCTGCAAGCAAACTCTCCAGTTACTGTGGATGCCCTTTTGAGTGTGTGAAGCAATTTGCTCCATAATAGTCTTATCCTAGTGCCTTATTTGTGGTCCTTTTAGAGTATTGACTTGGTCACATGGGAACTGACATTCTTCCAGTGAGTGGCTGCCCCCTTATAGCTTGGGTTGTTTAAGCATCCAATTGTTCTGGGATATTTTGCATGGATCCTCCCCATAGTACATATGCATGATGATAGTGTAATATCCCAGACTTTATTTACGCTGCAAGATTATTGTGCTCCTTGATCTCACTGAACAAGGACCTCTTTCTAGAACTTTGAACTCATGAACTGCTTTGTCTTGGATCTTCAGGTTTCCGACAAGTGGTTTAGACTTACAAATATGTAGACTTATAGCCAGAGTGCTGATTTGATATTTCTCCTGTGAATAGATCACTTCAAAAGAAAAAATTCTTTTGAAGTGATTTTGTTTAGCTACATGTAATAAGATCACTGACTATGTAGAGTCTTCTAAACTTTTAGAAGTACAGTACAGTACATATTCTGACACCCAATTTTTTTTTTTTTTTTTTTACTAAAACCTTGAAAGCATGCAGTATTGGGCAGCTCCTAGAATGTTATTTTGGAACATTATAACTGAAGACAGGAAAGATTCTTTCTCTATGATTGTGAAACTCACTTCAGCATGCTACTCATGCAACAAATTGTCTAAGGACACAAAGGTAATCAGTACTCTTATACATAAAACTCACACCAGGGAAGTGGTTGGCTGATAATGATTCCAGAGAGTGTTCTCTCAAATTTTTCATGGTTTAATGGTACCATTCACACTAATTTCTAGCTGCAGGTATGTTGTATAGGATCTTGAAGCAAAGTTTATTTTGTATAAAAAAAATGGTGGCTTGAAGTGTCACAGTGCTCTGTGCCTCAGTATGAGTCCCTCAATCCATTTTCTCTTAGTCACATTTACCAAATATACCCACATCACGCACACACATACACACAGCCAAAATGGAATAACACCACAGCACCAATTAGGAATTTAAATTGATGAACATTGATATACAGAGTGACTGTGTCAGCTTGAGATCCTTATTTACGGGTCAATGTTTTGTGGATATCCTCGTTTCAAAAACTGTACAGTGCATTTTCAAGTTGGCGATAGGAATGGCATCTTTCTCTTAATCATGGTTAATCCATAGAGGCATGGAAAATAGCCAAATAATGGTGAAAGAGGCGAATGACGACGAAAGGAGAGTGTCATTTTGGAATTCTCATTCAGAGGATGGATTTGTCAGCTATTATTTGAAAATAACCCAATTCATTCTAAGACCTTTTTTGCCACAGGATGAACTAACAAGAATCACATTGATAATGCAATAGAACATTCTCCAGGAGTAAACAAGTGTAAAGTTACAGAAGCAGTGTTTATGATTGATCAGTGGGTATAAGATTTTGCTATTTATTTTACTTGATGTTATTTGATTTCTTATTTTGTTGTTTCTAACTTGAAATTTTTCCTACCAGGAGCCATCCAGCTGATGTCTTGGCTGAGAGAAAATCCCCTGGAGATTGAATTTTCAGACCATCTTACATGCTATAATGTCTGTCAAATATAAGTTACTGGAAGTTGGATGAATGACGTGAAAGAATAAACTTTTTAAAGTAGATTTCAGTGTTTATGTGTGATGTTATGCTGCCTTACAGTGTGCCGAGACCATGTGTAGGTAGGGTATTGGCGACGAAGTTACTCTCCATAAAACAAGGTTTTTATCTGCCACTCGACATTATCTGGATGATACGAATTGAATCTTTTGAAGAGAGCTGCAAATGACGACACCTTTGTTTATAATAGATTGGTGTTTTTGTTGGAAATTATCTTGTATGTTAAAGAATTAAGTGTGATTGTGGCATACTTATACAGTACCTTATACTGTATGTGCAAATTGCATTTTGGAAGTATACATGTAGTAGGCTATTTTAGTGGGGTAGGAAAGATACAGTAAATTTGGAGGGATCACAAATGCAAACCATCAAGATTGGAGGATGAATCTGGGGGAGACTTCCATATGTATAGAATTGTTTAACATTAAGTGCTGCTTGGATGGTTGTATTATTTCTTTAGAGAAAAATGTAGCTTCATATATGAGTGCCATATATATAGATGTTTGTATGTTATAATATGAGGTTTTAGTATAATGAAGAACTATGTCCTTGTAAGTATAACTACTGTATAATTGTGTTGAGAAATTGATTGTATTAACTGTTACTTAGAGAAATGTGTAGTTTAGAGTATGCCTGCAGTGTGTATGTGTGTGTGGGTGTAATAATTGGATATGTTGTTTATAGAATCGTGTAGCTGATGCAATGCTGATGCTCCAGGGTGCAAGTCAAGACACTGGGGAGGAGTCGAACACCACCCCGGGAACCAGCAGTGATTCTACCTTAACGTCAACGCATTCACAAGGTATGTAACCAGCCTTCACATGTCCTTAGAGGAGTTTGTTCATAAAAATCAATAGGAATAAAGCCAAACACATATACCAATACCTTGATTATCAGGATGTACTTCAATTGGAATTTAAACCAGATGATGACAAAAAGGTCTTCAAAATTGGATATGACACATGCTGGGTCAGCAGTGTTACCACACATTGACCGTGTATGTATTTGACTTCCAGTTTTCGGTTATATGAAGGCAGTGAGTTGAGGTTGTTTTTACAATACTTGTATTATGCAGGAGGGAGATCATGTGAAGGTATTTTAGGTAAAAAGTTGTCATAAAGTTAGCAATAGTTGAACTATGTCAGATTCATGGTTAACCTGGTAGAAAATGTTTAGTACAATATATTACTAATTGAACAAGATGCTAGAATTGTTACACTTGAGCTTGATGACATTATTCTGTTTTCATGACTAGGATACTCATTTGATAACCAATATCTGCCAAAGTTATCAGAACGGTACAGTACATGCCACAGTGTGCTCCAAAGGGCTTTGTCATATGAAGGTTCAAGATTACCAAACCTATTTATTGCCATGTTGGATGCCAACTCACTGGGAAGTTGTAATGAAAAGTTGTCCTCACGAACTGTTCCTTATGGCACTACGTGCATAATTCATGAGAGTTAACAAGTCATGTGGATTGTTTCTTTGTTTGTGGTGGTCACCAGGGGCTGTAAATTAAACCTCTGCTGCTTCCAAAAATCATTTCAAACTCTCGGTGTCTAGTATGTGTGTTAATAACCAATACATTATGGACTTAAATCATTACTACTGTTTAGAAAACCTAAAGAAATTTTTTTTGGATTTATATTCTTTGTTCATTACATCTCAGGCCACATACTGGTTACCTGCTCACTGAAAAAAAGACAATTTTGCCAGCTTGTCAGTCGTTCCTGAAATAAGACTTTTAGCTTGTTTGAACAAGACCTAAGGCAACCTTGTGAGGACTGTCTATCTTGTATCTGTTGTTGGACTTCATCAGAACTGCTGCTGTACTTTTTTCTTTTCTTTTTTTCTAAAAAATTACAAGTTATGAACTCGTATATGATCTGTCTTGATAAACTAGAACCAATTTTGGAAGACCGTGATGAGTTTAGAGACATTTGATATGGGTTGGTAGTTGGTACATAGGAGACTGGTGACTTTAGATGGGGATGGTAAGGCGACAGAAAAAGAACACGATGTTTGTGGTGTTTTGAAGAAGCTTGCAGGTGATAAAGATTATATTTCTAGAAGTTATGCCTAAAAATGAAGTTAAAAAAGTGATATAGAATAACTTGAGAATAAGCAAGAACACATAACTTGTAGTGGAGTAAAATGCATTATAACAAGGAAGTAAGAAGTGTATAAGTGTATCTAAAAATGTGTGAAATCTGTGAGGCATAGAGAAAGTGGTGAGGAAGAAGAAATAATTAATGGAGGAGGAGGAGGCTGTGTTGATTAGATGTTTATTATCTACTACGTACTCTGGGAGGTTATCATTTTTTTTTATTAGTAAACATCAAAAACCAAACAAACAAGGAATAAAAATTAAGTTGGGAGAATTTTTGGCGCCAGTTGATATATGAACGCACAAGACCGGCTAATGTTTTTGGGCAGTGTAATACAGTATAAAATAAAATTATCCCTATCTTCCAGAATTGTTTTAAAGTTCAGAGGATGTGTTGTACGTCATTTTTATATACTGTAGTTACTTCAAAGGAAAAAAGAGACATACTAGTGAAGGAGCAACAAGACAAAGATGGACTGACATTCAAGTGCTAAGACAAACAGAAATTATCCCCATATATTTCCTAAATACCCAAGTTGCTTTTCTTCTCGTGTGCAAAAGATCTGTTTCTTATACGAACAAGTTTTATCACCGTGACAGAATTGTGATAGAATTATTACATACAACTCTGCTTTTTATAGTTTATATTGTTTTATATCACAGTACCTGAAGATCAGTTGATAGTTTAATAATTGGTTTTAAATTATTCTAGTGTGCCAGCCTTTTTAAAGGAAATAAATTTTCTATTACTCAACAAAGAAACATGTTTTGAGTCCAATAAGAAAGACAAAATTACTGCTTATGACAACTGTAACAGCAACAGTTATTGCAAATACAGTATGTATTGTCAGTAGCGCCTTACAATCAACAGGATCATAAGCCCCCGCAAAAAATTCAAACTTAATTAATTACTTTTTGCAAATTTCCGACAAGTGCAGCTGCGTCAGGGAGACGGGCAACCTATAGTTTCAACTAAACACTATAGGGGAAAGATCGGACCACAACAGAAGTTTCACACATAACTTTAAGTTCAAAGGGATGCTATTGATTATCACCACCATGTCATCAGGCAGCTAGTTTGAATTTGTCACTGGATTTAAATGGGACACATTGCTATTCATAAATGTAGTAACTGTTCTGCTAGCTATGTACTGTATACGAGATGTGTCATCATCTGTACGTATGATGACACATACCGCTTCCTTCAATTCATGTTGGGCTGCAGATACAGACCCCCTCCTCAGGACACTTCCATTACTATACATCTTTATAATATATTCAGCTATGGTGTGCATTCCAGAATGCCTGAAACAATTGCCTTTATCATACATTCTTATGTGCTCAACTGTTACAAACCAAGAAGCATTGCCAGAAATATTGGTCATTGCCACACATCTTTCATTCATGTCATAAACTTCCAGCAGCCTGTGAAAAGTCGACCATCCCCATATATCTTTATCTACTCGACTCATATACTAGCCACCATGACCTGGAACACAGGTCATTGCTACAGTCCTCATTAATTAGTATTTCATAGAGTTATTGAAATCTCCAAAGGCATTGATCATTGGTTTGTTCCCAGTCATCTTTTATAAACTTAGTCACAGTGGTGTAAGGAATTTACTTGTTATTGTAATTAATTGGTAATGTTACAGAAAGAGTATTTGGGATCAGATTACTTTGTGTGTGTGTGTGTGTGTGTGCGTGCGTGTGTGCGTGCGTGTGTGCGTGTGTGTGCGTGCGTGCGTGCGTGCATGCATTTCCTCATTCTTCAGTAGACATGTCCCTATAAACCCCCATATCCTTGCTTCTTTTCTCTCCATGATGTTTTGTTGCACATTTCCTTCTCTCATTGTGGGTAGTCTTCATTCTTCTTCATTCCTAATCTATTATTCTCTGATATATGTTAGACCAGAAGAAAGCGTTTTACTACCACTTTGAGTTCCTTCTTCACGTCCAAGTTTACACTTCTTCCTTTGATGATACTTGCCAGTTGTTTAGTCACACACTCCCCTTTTATTTTATTTATTTATTTGGTCTACCTATTATCATTCTCCATTATACAATTCTTACTTAGGTCAAAACACTCCCAATTACTTTAAATCTTAACCCTCAGTGTTATTTCATCCGGCATTGTAAATTTAAAGTGTTTTTTTTTCACTTAGCTTTTCTAATTTGTATAATTTGTCAAGATCCACCATGTTAAACTCCTCCCTCTTATAACCCATTGTTTTTAAGAGAATATAACTTTATTTTTTCTACCACACCCTGTCAAAGTTATTGACCATCATTTGTTGGACCTATTTACTCAAGAAAAAAACACGGAATTATCTATGTGTGAACATGTTACCAATGCCCACCACCTTCCAGCTCCAGCTTCATTTACACACACACACACACACACACACACACACACATATAAATACATCTACCTTTATAGCCTTTTTGAATGTCATTACTGCGTCAGGTAGCTTTCCTTCTACCTAACAAGTCTTCCTCACCTCACATTCACCATTCTGTTTTTTAGTCAGAATATAACAAAACTAAAGCAACTTCAATCAGGTGGTTTACACTGAGCAACAAGTAGATAGTGGGTGACTGGATTGACTGATTGATTGATGGTGGATTAATGGATGGGATGGGTAGATGGCATTGGAAACAAGTCTAAGTCAATGACCAAGAGTAACAGTTACGTGGATTAACCAAAATGGTATTATTGTCAAAAACTCTGAATGATTATATTTGAGAAGCATTTGGTTGTTACTTGAGCCTTCGGAGAAAAGTAATATTTGTTTACGCGGAGAAAAAGGTGGGGAAGAACAAAATAAGGAAGAAACTTTTTTTTTTTTTGTCATAGTTCTTATTTGTATATGAAAAGTGAAATGAATTTTTTATATGAATCAGCTGTAAGATATAAAGAAATTTTTACAGCTAGATGTCCTTCTTAATGCCAACCCACTTTTACAGATTAGGAACTGAGCACTATAATTTTTTAAGTCATACATACATTGCTCAGTTCTCACTCTGTAAAAGTGGGTTGGTGACAGAAAGAGCATCTAGCCATAAAACTTACTTTAAATTTACCTGTTGGCAACCAGGACACCATAACATCACGTATTCTCGACTAACCCACACAAGCATGGAAAATGGCCTTAAAATGATGATGACATATATGGGAGATTAATATATTTGATCTTGTTCTTCCTATCTATAACTAGCATGGTGGATAGGTGTATCTAGCTGTCTATTTATCTGTTATTATTACCGGTACTTTCCTCTCACCTGAGTGTGGGGTAGACTGAGCATCAAAAGTAACTGGGAACAGCTGAAACAACAAAGAGAAATATGTTTTAAACACACTTGCTCATATAGTGTTTTCAACTTGTGTTCACAGTATACAAAGTGGATAGGAATGATAAATATAAATTACGTATGCCAGCACATAGATATTATCTTCATAGGACCCATCATTGTTGACTAGAGGACCCCCCTGGAGTGCTGTAGAGACCATTCGCTTGTTCTGCCTCTAATCTAATCTATTTTTTACCATTCGTCATTGCATTTTTATGTCTGGGAGACCAACACCTGTGCTTTAAAACCACAAATACTGTAGGTTCTTGCTTATTGCTACTGTCTGGCTTACAAGTGAGTCATTTGGTAACAACTTTACCTCTTTGAAATTTGGGAGTAGA